TTTGTTCTGCTGTGCATGGGGTCGCTATGAGTCGGTTCCAACTTGATGGCATCTGACAACAACTGGGTTCTTACTCATAACCCTGTGTAGGGTCTCTGAGGCTTTAAATCTTTGTGGGAGCAGAAAGCCTCAACTTTCTCCCTCAGGGCAGCCAGTAGGCTTGAACCACCAACCTGTGGTTCACAGTCCAGTGCTTATCCTATGGAGCCACCACACTAATGGAGTCAATTCCAGCTTATAGCAACCCTCTATAGGGTTTCTGAGGCTTTAAATCTCCAAGGGAGCAGAAACCCACATCTTTCCCCTGAGGAGTGGCTGGTGAGCTCCAACTGTGGACCTTATAGTTCACAGTCCAGTGCTTATTGTGTGGAGCCACCACACTCCCATAATGGCTATGTAACTATGAAAATAACAAGTGCTTACCTCTATAGCATCTGCAGTTACATACCACACTATAGAGTGTATTGATTTATACAGTTCACCCACTTAAAGATGGAAGTCCTACAAGCCCTGGTAAACGGACTCCTCCAAGTTTGCACACCAGTAGCGTAAGCTGGAAATGCATCCGGTCGGGCTGCTCTGGTTTCTAGCCCTCCTCTCTTTCCGTGGCACTGTGCCACCTTCAGTGGTTAAAGGACTGTGGAGGACAGTCGGGGAGGAGTCTGATTACACCTTAAAGAACAATTAGGATTGTCGCCTGTGGAGATGGTAGACAGAGAGCTTCCAAGCTTAAGAAAACAGTGTACATCTGTTTCTTAACCTCAGGGTCTTCTGCAGAAAAGGATCAACGGAAGCCCATTGGGTGCCAGGCCCCCAGTCCCATTTTAACAGGATCCTTTAGCTGTTTTATGCCTTGGAGTTTTACATAATTTTATTTGAAAAGGGTTTTACTACTAAAATTACAAAACCTCCAAAACTGGAACATACAATGCATGTATACATGAGGTGGAGAAGGGCTTAACGTTAATATGCACCCCGAATTGCAGAGGCTCTGAGTGGACAACCTGAAGTGACCATACTTTTCTTAGGGACAGCAGGGGTTTTGTGAGTAGGGAGGCATGGGTTCATGGCTCTCAGTGGGTTTTCCTTGAGAATATCTTCTGTGATGCTAGAGATTGTGAGACTGGAAATTAACAGAGACCGCAAGTAGAGAGAAGTTAAAATAATAGCATAAACATGGCAGAGATTTTAATTCAATCCAACAAAAGCTTGTTGGGAGCTTATGTGCAGAACCCCAATAGTTAACCAGGAGAATATGAAAAGGATTCAACGTTCCTTATACTCCATTAAGAGAGTCTGACATAAACTATCAGCTAGAATTAACTATAGGGCAAAGGTGATAAAATAATGTTAATTACTATCATTGGATGCTTCCTCGGCCAATTCTGGTTCCAAGTACTTTATCTGAGCTATTTTATTTAATTCACACTTACTGCTTTGTGAGGCAAAATTTTTAAAACCTATTTACAGAAGAAAGCACAGAGGCTTAAAGAAATGGAGTAACTTGTGCTAGAGTTCAGCCCCTATGTGTTAAAGCCGAGAATTAGGCCTTGTGACCTCAGGTTCCATGCTCTGAACCCTTTGCTGTCTGTACCGCCGTCCTGGGGAGTTGTAGAGAAGAAGGTGAGGGAAAGGAGGCGACAGTGACTGAGGCCTTGAGACTGGCTTGTCTTCTGAATGGTGCTGACTTGGCAGAGCACTGGGTGCCAGGAGGAGTGGATTTGCATGGAAAGGTTATTTCTCCTTAGAGCTTATTGAGGTGAGAAAACATCCCAGAGGAAAGATCCAGCAAGCAGCCAGAAATGAGGTTTTGGAGATGAGGAGTTGGGTAACAGTAGTCGTGATTGCTGATACTTCTTGAGTCCCTTAACTGTGTGCCAGGCTCTTTCCCACTGACTGTGTCTGTTGTCTCACTGAATCCCCTCTGATACCAGGACGGCCAACACTCTGTGTTACAGGTAGTAAGAAACTGGCCCCAAGACAAAAGCACTAAGTGATGAGTCAGCAGCTGGACCCACGTGGACTTGAGTCCAGAGCTCATTCTCTTCAGGACTCGGCTGCTTCTCAAGATAGCATCCTCACAGTTGTGTTTGTTGTTGTTCTGTGCCTTCAAGTCAGTTCCAACTCATAGAGACTCTCTATAGGGTTTCCGAGAGCAGCTAGTGGGTTTGAACTGTTGACCTTTCAGTTACCAGTCTAGTGCTTATGCTGCAGCACCACCGGGGTCGTCCTCACAGTGGATGTGAACACTGAGTCCGCGTGAGCCGGGCAGCAGTGTTGTCTCTTAGCTTGCTGAGTCACAGATACAGACAATATGAAGGACACGAGCTGTTAACATTTGAAGTGAGTCAAATGTACTCCTTGTGGTAAGTGAACAAATCAACCAGAAAAGTGGTATCCGTTACCAAAAGCCACGTAGGTGGAAAAGTGGGTGTGTGTTTATATTCCATGCAGGGTGTACGTTCCTCACAGTTCTCACGTGTGAGTCATACATGTAGAAGGAACCCTGAGAGTGCAGTCGTTAAAGCCCTGCCTGCTAACCAAAGGTCAGCAGTTTGGCCCCAGCAGCCACTCCATAGGAGAAAGATGTGGTGGTCTGCTTGTGTACGATTTCCAGCCCTGAAACCCTGTGGAGCAGCTCTCGGCCCCACAGGTCTCTGAATTAAACTGACCCAACTGCTGTGGGTTTAGGCCTGCTGCCGTCTACAGGATCTCCACAGGTACTCCCAACGGTTCTGGAGCAAGGAAGGCTTCCCCCTACCTAAGGAGAGTAGGGTTCCTGGTGGCACCGCGGGTTTAGCAATGGGCTACTAACCCCCAGGTGCTCTGCAGGAGAAAGCTGAGGCACTGTGCTCCCTGTCCAGGTGCTCAGCCTGGGAAACCCCATGGAGCAGTTCTCCTGGACCTGTAACTGCTGTGAGTTAGAAGCCACTTGAGGGCAGTGGGTAGAAGGACAGCCAGAATGTCAGGGAAGGGAGGCTGGCAGGATTTCCTCTTACTTACTGTGGACATGTTATCAGGAGGAACCGGTTCCTGGAGAAGGATACCGTGCTTGGTAAAGTAGAGGGTAGTGAGTAAGAGGAAGACTCTCAACAGGAGAGACTGCCATAGTGGCTGCACCACAGCAGTGACTTTGAGGAGGACACAGGACTGGGTGGGGTTTGGGTCTAATGGACTAGGGTCATATGGGTCAGAACTGACTCAGCAGCACTTAACAACAACTGCCTTAAGGAGAGAGGGGTTAAATGAATTCCCGATGGTCACATGGAGATACAATCGGTTAGGGATATAGGAAGGAAACCTGGAATGCCTTGGAAACATTTTCTTTGTAGATGACTGTGAGAGTCATCAGAATAGATACTGTCCGTCTCCCCTTCGAGTTGTATGTTATATGATTACAGCTGCCATGTAAGAAAATCAACCGGAACATGAAAGCAGCACCTGAGTGTAATTATTGTTTTTACAGTCTCCTCCATTAACTCTTTCTTTTCCAGGGAATGGTGGCTGTGTCTGGCAGTCTGTCCGTGCTTCTGGATTCCATTATCTGTGCACTTGGCCCCTTGGCATGTCTGACCACACAGCTACCTGAATTGAATGGCTGTCCCAAACAGGTCTTGGTAAGTTTCCCTTAGGTTTTCTTGGGCCAGGCCCCAGGGGAGCTAGAGCACACTCACAAGGCTTCTTGGCACATAGCACTCCCTTCCTAGCGGCCCATGACACTGACATGATACTGTACTGTTAGAAAACACATGTCCTGCTTCCAGTGAAGTGTGGAAACATGCCATTTGCCAAAATAGAGCAGCATTCTATTCCTTGAGTACTGCAACTCCCAGGTTTCCTTTGTTTTTCTGCATCCTAGGATCGAAGAGAGAAACTAGCAGGAAAGCTCCTCCATTCTCACCCTGGTTTCTCCTCTGTGTTCCTTTCCCTTGAAAAAAGAAACATTTCTCAGGGAACCAGGATAGAGTACTCTTCAACTGAACCTATATTCCTTGTTTTACAGTCCAACACACTAGACAACATTGCTTACATCATGCCTGGACTCTGACAGCAAAGAATCCTGAAATGGAAACCTAATTCCACCCCATTCCTGGCTGGCTTGTGTATATGTGACTGTTCCAAATCCCTTCACTGACCTCGGTGTTGGTTTTAAATTTTTATATATGTATATACCTATATATACATAATGTACAATATATATATATATATATATAGGACTTTATGTTGCTTTTAATAATTTTTTTAAATGGCAAAGAGGTGTAGCCAAGAGGAAACCTTAGAATGAATCTGGGCTTGGGGTTCTTTTTTCTCCTGTGGTGGATGTATCTGCCTTAAAAATCAATGTGACTTGAGGGCTGGGGACTTGTTCAGGGTATCAGGTATATCTTTTGATAGACAGCTACAAGGTAGTTTTTCCCAAAGTCAGTTGTACCTCCAGACTCATCACTGGTCATTTGCCTTACCTGTCTTATGGTATGAAATGAAATAGGAAAAGGAGTTACGGCAAGATGCCAACTGACTAAGTGGACAAAGCCTTTCTGCTTGAAGATAATAAAATCATTCCCATCTTACAGTTATGGAAACGGTTTGGGAACTGAGTAGGCGGTTCATTTCAGTCCCTACCACATATGTGTCCATGTCTCAAACTTCACTGTAATCATTGGTACCTGTGGCAGTTTCAGGGGGGGTGATGGTGTGCTGTGGAATCCGTTCTGACTCTTAGCGACCCTGCATAGGGTTTCCGAGGCTGTAGATCTTTACGGGAGCAGAAAGTCCCATTTTTCTCCCGTGGAATGGCTGGTAGTTTCAAACTGCTGACCTGAGGTTAACAGCCCGCTTCCTAACCGCTATGCTACCAGAGCTCCTTGTGGCAGCTTCAGTACAGCCCAGGAAGTCATGGGAACCCTGCCAGCATCAATTCCTTAAAAGGATCCAGCTGTCAGTGCCACCAATTGAACTGCATAGATTGTGAGCTGACCCAGAAGCGTTTGGTCTGCAAAACTAAGAGCTGGTATCTTTCATTGGCAGCATTAAATTAGGTACTGAGTCCTCACAAGTTCTGCTGGTCAGTTGCCTGGTTGTTGTAGAAGGTAGAGTTTGCTCAGCAAGCATCTTGGGTTCATTTTACTGGTTCCCCTGGTGGGTAGATACGGTGTTGTGCATTCCACACGTAAGTGAATTGCAGAGAGAGTACTTGATTTTCACAGAGGTGTATTTATGTGCGCGTATGGATGTGTGTCTTAATTATGTGTATTTAACGCTTCAAAATCTCTTGGATTTTAATTTATCCTGTAAGTTTCTGTATATATAATTTAATAACAAAAGATTCCACCAGCAGCAGCATGTGGAAGATGCAGATTTGTCATTTGTTCCTTCCTACCTTCCTCTGGTCTGCTCCAAAAACTCTAAAATCATCTACATTTAAGGCACTTGGCCTCAAAAAGGAATCATCATGTTGGGATTATTCTACTTCTTTATAAAGACCTTCATGGCCTTCGATAATGTCAAGGAAGTAAAAAGGAATGTTACCATCACCAGTCACCCCTGTTTCCAAAGAACCAAACATTGGCATCCCAGTTGGAAAGAAGACAGTTTGGTGTGAGACAACTTGCCGAAAGCCAGCTCTGCAGTAACTGGCTATTTTCCCCCAGTTTGGGGTGGGCACTATGGCATCAAAGTAAGACCTTAAGGACCATGCAGCCAGCTTCTCACAGCACTGTTGTCACTTGGCTGTGTGGCTTAAAGGGACTCTGGCTGCTGACTGCCTTTCTCAGCTCTGAGCACTTTTGAGATTTAACCAGGGAAACAAAGAAGGAAGTAGAAATGTTTAGGAACCAAAATCAAGAGGAACAGTGACCTTGACTTGATTTCCTGGGTTAGACCCTCATACCACACCTCATGTGTACCCATGGAGGCTTCCAGTTTGACCCAGGGTATTCAAGGAGGAGCCTGGATGACATGGATGAGTTCAGGAAGAAACAGATCCTTCTACTGTCATTTGTATACTTCCATGATACGAGGACCTGATTTCTGTTTGTTTTCTCTTGAAACCCAACCTGATTATATTTGTATTTAAAATTTGTACACATTTGTATAATAATAATCTGTACCTTCTAGAATTTGGTACTATTAGAGAAAAACCTTTGGATTCAGACCTTCTTGCAGTTTTTATATCATTGTTTTATTTTTGTTTTTTAAATACTAGTGGTTTGGTCCAAATCCCATTACAGTTGTATAAAGAAATAAAGTTTTGTACTTATATTATTAAAAATCCCATTTTTAATACTTATAGTCCAGTCTCAGCTATCTTTTCCCTACTGCTCACCAAAGTTACTATAAACTCATAAAACCTCCATTTCCACCGTACATCATACCAGAATCTTTTAAAAAATATAAAGCCATCAGCCCAAAGTAGAGTTCAGGTTTCTAATCTTCACCAGACTCCTAGCATGCCCCTTGTTCCGTCTCGGTTCATTTTGCGTTGTAGAGACTCTTGTTTTCTCGCTTGCAAATTATAAATCCAGTGACTCTAAGAACTGTGGCTCTGTCCATTAGCAGATGAAACTCTAGGCATGTTCCGTTGTTGCCCTGATTCAAGAAACTGCTGTCAATCTTACAAGAGCTGATTGCATCTGAATCATGTGCTAAATGTATATTTCATGCTGTCTCAGCACCATCCCGACTTAGTGATGTTGACTAGATCACTTAACCTGTATAAGTTTCCACATTCTATCCATAAAATAGTTTGTCACCCCCTGTCTCCAAGCCTGCCGCCAGCCAGTGTGCCATGAGTGTTGAGTAATAGTAGAACATTAAATGTATGGAGATTTGGGATTTCAAGATAAAAATTTCAGTACAAACACAAGATGTTAAAAGACATAGTGAAATGATCTGATTGATTAAAAAAGGCAAGGAAGAGGTCACCATGCAGCTGACTGACTTATATTCGTGCTTTATCTCATTTAATCCTCCTGAAAGCTGAGGAGGAAGGAGTGTTACAGATGAAGCAGATGCAGGAATTGCTTTGCCTAAGAGCACATAACTAATAAAGGGCAAAAGCAGAACAGGAACATTGATATAGCTGACCCCAAAGCTGACCCTTTGCAGTTTAATTAGTTGTATTTACATATATTTGGAGTCCTGGTATGGCGCTGTGGGCTAATGCATCAGACTGCAAGGTCGGTTTGAACTGCAGGTTGGTAGTTCAAGCTCACCAGCTGCTCTTTGGAAACCCTATACAGGGTCGCTATGGGTCGGAATCGACTCGACGGTACATAACAACAACATACTTACATTTAGGGAGCTCTGGTAGCATAGTAGTTATGAGTCGGGCTGCTAGCCATAAGGTCAGCGATTAGAAACTGCCAGCTGTTCTGCAGGACAAAATTGAGGCTTTCTGCTCCCATAAAGATTTACAGGATTGCTATGGGTCAGAACCGGTTCCACAGCACATAACCACCACCACCACCATACATAAATTCATTGGCTCCGTCTCCATTACCTATAACCATTGCCATAGATTCCATTCCAACCCAACATCCCTATGTCTATAGTATTGAGCAAATGTGATAAGAATATAATGTTAGGTGCCATCAAGTCAGTTCCAATTCAACCTTGTAAATTTTTCTGAAGCTGTAGATCAGAGGAGCAAAAAGCCTCATCTGCCTCCTGCAGTGTGGTTGGTGGGCTCAAACTGCTAATCTCGTGGTTAGCAGTCCAGTGCTTAATCTACATCGCCATAGTGCTTTCAGAGTATATAGTAAATCACATATTTATGCATTATGTCAGTCTTAAGGGGCGTGCTAAAACCACATGGGAGCCATGTCTGACTTGCCCTGGCTTAACAAGAGGAAAAAGAATCAAACTCAGAATTAGCCCAAGTGAAGTGGAGGTCAGACACGCTTCCACCCTACAACCCTCTTTCCCCTATTCTGACACCAACCGTTCCTCCCACAGCACTCTCTGCTTCACATCTGGGTTCAGTAATCCACTGCAATGACCAAACAGAACTAACAATACATGATTATGAGGTTCATTATGGAAGTGAACAGGGTATAAATTCAGGATCAAAACCACCTCAAGATGCAGCAGTTCTCCAGTCAAGGATACCTCTTGTTTTCAGCCTTTCCGCCATGTGGTCCCTTGGCCTCTGCCTTGCTCCAACACATATTACAGTTCTTTTAGTCAGGCTGTGAATGCCCAAAGGGCTCATTCTGCAAGCCAGTCTCTTGCCCAAAGGCACTCAGCTTTACTCAGTCAATAGGCCTGGAGCCTGGAGCTGCTGGCTCTCTCCTCACCACTGCCTCGCCTCTGCAGTTCTCAAGTGTTATTCATGTTCTTCCTTCTTGAAGGTCCTGGGATCTGTCTTTGCTTCTGAGATGGCTCCTTTAAGCTTAGCTAGAGGGCAAAACTAACCAATCCCAGCCTTAGAGGCCTATGTACCTTATTTGCATGGTCCCACCCAATCACTTGGAGCCCTGGTGTGGCACTGTGGATTAATGCACTGGACTGCTAAATCAGTTCAAGCTCACCAGCTGCTCCTCAGAAACCCTATACAGGGTCACTTTGGGTTGGAACCGACTCGACAACACTTAACAACAACCCAATCACTTGGAGTCCTGGTGAAAAAGGACATGTTTCCAAAATTTTAAATCAGAAACAACCCACATATCCCAAAGCAGAAAGTGAAAATTCGTTACATAGAAACAGGATACTGTATCCCTATTGTGGTGGTGTGCTGTGGAGTCGGTTCTGACTCATAGCAACACTGTATAGGGTTTCTGAGGCTATAAATCTTTATAGGAGCAGAGAGCCTCATCTTGCTCTTGCAGAATGGCTGGTAGACCTTGAGGTTAGCAGCCCAATGCTACCAGAGCTCCTTGTTGCTGTTACGTGCTGTCAAGTCGATTCCAACCCATAACAACCCTGTATAGGGTTTCCAAGGAGCAGCTGGTGAGCTTGAACCACCAGCCTTAAGGTTCAAACCACCTTTGCAGTCCAGCGCATTACCCAGCAGCGCTACACCAGGACTCCAAGAGAGCTCTTTAGTCTGTTCATATGTTGTCGTTAAGTGCCATCTAGTCAGTTCCCACTCATAGTGATCCTGGAGCCACTGTTGAGTTTGAACCACCGACCTTGTGGTCCATTGCTATATCCCACAGCGTCACA